AAAAAGCTTAACGACCCAGGAGATTCCTCGTAAAGCAGCCATTAAGCTCTTATTACAGTAAAAAGCCTCAGTGAGCAGGCTTAACGTGCAGATGGAGACCGTATTTCCCTGAGAACATAAAATGTCTTTGTGACTGCTGACATACTTTGTTGAGAAGGTCCAGTTTCCTCATCGCTGTCTTCATCTTTCCGCCCTTTCTTCTTGGTTTTACGAATCCGGATTTCTCTGGCATTGCCTCCTCCACCTGCTTTCACACTGCCACTGCCCTCTGGAAGACAAACAGTTAACAGATCCCAGTCAGTCTGAGAAAACTCAACTTCTTAAAGTCAGCAAACACTGACTTGTCACATTGCAGACGTCTTTACTTCACTTCACTTTAAGATAACCAGTCTATTATTTTTCCTGTCTTTGCCCTACGGGTCATTGTAGGGTAGATGTTGGCAGGTGGTGATGCCGTCTTCTCCAAACGTTACAGAGCAGGTGTAAAAATAGCACAAGCAACATTTGCATAAGGCTGTGTTGGACAACAAAACACACACATTGGGCCTCATTCATTAATATGCATGCAGAAATGATCCTGCTCGCTACCTACAGTCTGCAATCTGCCACACCCCCATTTCACTGGGACATGTTTTATTGGTGAAGATGTTCTAAGAGAGACAACTGCAATACAAAAGCAAACATCAGGAGAATCTCTATAAGAATGACGGTTAACTGTGAGGCAAATCTTTCAAGTAAAAAAAAAAAAACAAAACAAAAAACATATACATCACATTTTAGATTTCAGAATTTCAGATGAACAAACAAAGATTAACATTAGACAAAACCTGCGTAAACGGAAAATACAGGTTTTTACTGATGACGTCATTCATTAAGAAGCTATCCACACCTGCTTGTCCCTGTGTGAAAAACTGCTGCCTTAGACTAATAACTGGTTGTACCATCCTTGGCAGCAAGATCTGCAATCGAGTGTTTGTAATAACTGGCAATGAGTCTCTCGCATCGCTGTGGAGGAAATTTGGCCCACTCTTCTTTGCAGAATTATTTCAATTCAGTTCCACTGAAGGGGTTTTGAGCATGAGGGGCCGTTTAAGGTCATGGCAAAGCATCTCAATCAGATCTGGGTCCACTCCAAAAAACAATCTGATGATATTTGATAATTGTTTGAGTCCAAGTTTGTAAAAAAAAGAAAAAAAAAGAAAAAAAGAAATATTGGTGAGTTTTCTTGTAGATTTAAAGTTAACTTAAATAACAGAAATATCACTACGGGCACCTTAGTGAATCCCTCTCTTGTCTCATCGTTCTGGTTTCTGGAAGCAGCTCTGACTGCTTTACATAAATAAAGGAGTCACTTTACTCTTTGCTGTGCTGTCATTACACAAGAAGCCACTGCAGTATTGTCCTAAACGATAGGTGACACGGCAACCATAAAAATGGCCTAAGACCCACGTCCCTGAGCTTTGGGCCATTCTAATTGTTGCAAAGGCAAAGTGAAAAGTCTTTACTTGATCAAAAGAAATGAACAGATATTCCTCTCATTCAATTTCTTTTACCCACTTTCAGCTTTTTGCAAACAGAAACTTTTTCTGCAAATTAAAACAGAAAAAATGATTTCATGTAAGACATCAATAATTAGACTCACTCATGCATCATTACCTTAGACAGCTTTGAGGACACATGTTGGACACTAAGAACCAAAACAAACTCCTGGGATTTCTCACCATTGTCAGTCTCCCTCACAAAATGCCAAAGGGACTAAAAACTATGAATAAAAATAATAAAACAAAAACAGTGGGAGTTTGTGAGATAGGTTTCACAAACCTGCTGCCTTCTTCCTGCGCTCTGCTTCTCTCTTCTCCTTCTTAGAAGATGCGGTGCTCTCAGTCAGGATAGATGCTTGCTTCAGATCCTCTTCAGTTATCAAAAACACCGGATTGCTCTTAACTTCCTGAAAAGCACACAAAATGTAGTTCCACCCTTTGGACAGAGCATATACATATACATGTAAAACCGGGTGTCAAAGGAATCTCTACCTTCTGAGCTTTCTGCTGCATGGCCTCATCAAATAAAGACAGGCAGTTGCTGATGAACTTCTCACTGACAACCACGGTGCCCCCCAAGATTCTGGCAGACGATTGGATGTTAGTGTTTCTCATAGCTTGGTTAATCAGTATCCCAATGTCCTCAGTCGACAGGCAGCTGGGCAGAACTGGCTAAAGCAGCCCGGACAGAAGAGGATAAGAAACAGAAATCTAAAAAAAACAAAACAAAAAAAAACAAAAACGATGCAACTCCTCTAATATCATCAATTTAAAGGTTAAAGAGCTGACCTGGAGGTCAGTCCAAGTGGCGGAGTTGACAGCTTCCTCCACAGAGGCCTCCACCTGGTCGACCAGAGCTTGGCCCACACAGGCCGCTCTGAGGAACAGCAGCTTATTAGACTTGAAGCGCTTCTTTATGTAGCTGGATGGGTCGGGGATCCCCAGTCTAACCAATGCATCAAACTCTGTGGGACAATGATGTCATCAGTTCATATAGTATAGCAGTTTATTTAATAACCCTGAGCGGTCATGACATTAAGTCCCACTTTCAAAAAGAATCTGCAGCAGTAAATACACCATATGGACCACAGCCACAACAGTGGGCTTGTAAACATTTACAGTAGTAATAGACACATGGGACAGTTTCCTGAAGGACAAATATTTTATGATAGATATATATTATATTGCTAATCTACATAACTATTTAAAAAAAACAAACAAAAAAACCCCTTGTTTTTCCTCTCTTGTGCCCATGTGGAGACAGACCGTCTGCAGAGAAAAGACAGGAGCAGGTTTTATTCTGCCACATTTATCTCACTGGTTTGTTGAGGAGCTGAAATGTTCATAAAGATGATTTTTCTATGGTTGATGTCACCTCTTCTGCTTAGGTTTCTACAAAACTCACAGCATGTGACTGATGTAAAGTAACTGAAATCAGCTAAACCCCAAAACTACAGTAAAATGCAACATAAACATTAATGCAGCAGGAATGTTAATCGATACCACAGTCCCATATCTGTAATACTCTGACTTGGGAAAGTAATTTTTTAATGTAATTTTTTCTTCAGCGGTTACCACACCAACCCTCTACATGTCCACCACTGTTTATTCTCAGTTAACATTTTAATAACCCCCTTTGCCATGTGTGGGTAGCAGCTCTGCTTGCCTTTCTGTAACAGTTCTTGCATGCCACTGCTGCAAAGTTCCAGGTGTCGCTGAAAAGCAAATGTTACTACCTTTTAATGATTACTGAGGGCACAAATGGGAACCTCAGTGTCCTATTTCACAGTTTTGCATGATGCGGATCTGCACCAAAACACGACTGCGTCTTCCTTTACCCATGGTCCACTGAGGCACTGAGTTCTTTGAAATTCACTGTTTTTTTTCCTCCTTGTTTTTAGAAATGTAACCTTGCTTAAAAAAATGACAGAGCCGACAAACACATTGATCACCTGCCTCTATAATAGCTCTTGCCTCAGAGGAAAAATTGGGTTTTTATCATTGTCATTTTTCATCTAGTACACACAAGATAATTACTTCTGTGCCCAAGATAAAAGAAAATATTTTTGAGACAGTCACAGCTCAGTATAACTGCTTATCTCAAGTCCCCAAAGTAGGAGTAGTAAAAACTAACAACAGTAATAAAGAAAATTTAAAAACAAAAACAAAACACATCTCACTGTTTTTAGGACAATAACTGTGCAACGACCAAATAACCAACAACTCCCTAAAATTTTTAAACTGAAAGAGTTTCAAATATTTCAGCCCTGCTGTCAAAGAGCCTCAAAAACTCACTGTCTTACACTGAATCTCTTGGCATTTTTAACAAACATAGGAAATACTGTCTTTCCCCTCAATCCCCAACCATCTGCATAGACTGCTACTACTCTCTGAGCCTGGGTCTGCTGAATGATCTACCTGTTAAAGGGCACTCCTGCCAATCCATCACCAAGTGTTTGCTCGCAGGGATCACCTGATTCTTTGAGTTCTCTTTCTAACATTGTAGAGTCTAAACCTTACTGCAGAATGTGCTTTGTGGTCATTGTTAATGTGAATTGATGCCAGTAACACTGAAACCGAAACTGGAGTTGATCTGAGGTTTTAGGAATTTTTTAAAAATCATTTTTCTAGTCATCTTCTCATGAGTGATCAAAGTAGTCTTGTGGGTATACCTCTACTCCAAGTATGGCTGACAGGACTTTGAAATTAGACGGCAAAACAGCCACCTTTTTTTCCCTTCTTCTTTTCTTTCTTGTGGATCAGAAGATAAAAAAAGCTCAAACATTCTGAATGAGACAGCTAGCTAACTAGAAAAAGCCTAAGGGTATTTTTGATCACCGACATCAACACCTACCTAAATATCCATTTTGCTGGAGAAAAGAATCCACCCAGGCATTTTGTGTTTTGGTGTAGATATCAGGGATATACACAGCCTTGTCCTGACGCCCCCCAACCACGCTTCCTTTCAGACGCCCGATATTCACCAACTCCTCCAAGACAGCTGAACCACAAAAAATACAATATCATAATACGCTCTGTAAAGTATTAAACAATGACAATAGAGGACTGTTTGTCTAATGTTTAACATTAGACACAGTTGAAAACGATTAAAAACCAAACATAAATATCATACAAGTTTAAAAAAAAAAAGAAGAAACAAAATGAAGACTAGTACACACGTGAAACCAAAGAGCTTAACAGGTTAACTTAAATGATGTAGCAGCTGGTCCTTACAGTACAGAAGGTGTTCCTGAAATCCAAATGCTCCAATCATACTGCTGACAGGTGTTGGCCTATAGAAAAAGCAAAACAGCAGGAATAATAAGAAAGTGCCAACGAATGCAGCTGTTGAATACAGCGGGGTCTCATATGAGAACATTTGTTATTTTTTCACATCTGTTAGACGTGAAGATCAGTTATTATTCATCTTTGACTTTCTCTTATGTAAGTCTTTTATCGCGTCTCCTACACCTTACCTCCAACCGGTCACAGCAGATAGCTGCCCCTCCCTGAGCCTGATTCTGGTGGAGGTTTCTTCCTGTTAAATGGGAGTTTTTCATTCCCACTGTCATCAGGTGCTTAGCAGGTGGTCTAATTGATGGCGTTTTCTCTCTATTAACATAGGGTCTTGACTTTACAATATAAAGCACCTTGAGGTGACAGTACTTGTAATTTACACTGAATATAGTTATATGGTAGCACTTATATCCTTAAACAGCCATATAGGCTAGCTTTACGGCTCTCTCTGTGGCAAACACTAGCTTCCAAAAATGCTAAAAACCTGTAGCAGAGAACAAAACACTGAACAGTGAAAGTGTTTTTACTAAATCACAGATGGCTTTCACAGTTCCGTGAAAGTCATGGAGATTGTTAAAGCCAATGTGGTATTACAGAGTCAGGGTGTTCACTTTGTGTTCCTTGCTCTTTTAAAGTACATGTTCATCCTTCTCACACAATCTGCTGTTATCTGTCCTCGTTTTCTCTCCATAGCAACACAAGTACCCTACACCTCATCACCTCTGTTTCCTTCACCTACATGTCTATGGGGACATTCTCTATCACTTCATCCAACTCAATCAAGAATTCCTCTCCCTTTTCTATCTGATGCCCAACTTGTGGGGATGCACTGACAACATTCAGCACCATGCCTTTAGTCTTTATTAGCTTTAGATTAGCGAATGTAGTAAAATTAGGAAAACCTCACGCGTTTTAATTTCTCAGCTATATTGCACCGGTGCAGCCTTATGGGTTTCATATCTGCCTGATTATATATCATCATTAGAAACATAACTGTTGTAGATGCTGCTTGTGACCAATAGGTTACACAGTAATTTAAATGAGAAAAATAATCATAGTGTGCATAAAATATTTGCACTATTGCACAGTGAGGAGTTTCTAACAAGGTTAAATGTATGTATATTTGATTTTATGAACTTCTCAAATGTTCATGGGATATTTTGCCTCGGTACCCTGTTCTCTGGATTGCCCATTAATCTTTAAATTTAACCGAAGGGCTTCTTTCAACAACCAAGCAGTGAAAGAGAAACAGATACCATTTTCTTAATACTATTCATGTAAAGTCTTACTTTAACAACAAGCTGAACATGACTATGAATTCACTCACTGTCACCAACACTGGAATGATCTTTAAAGCAGCTACCCACTCACTGCATTTTTTGGTGTCAAAGCTTCACTAAGTATACACAGGGGAACCATAATGTAAAAAACTCAATATGACAGAACATGCAAAACATTTTAGCTACCATCTGTCAACCTGCTGGGATGCTGCAACACAAACACAGCTCAAAATAATGTCCTGCAGACAGAAATCCTTCATAGCATCTTCAAACAGCTTAACCTTGCTTAGCATCAAAGAACTGTTTCTATAGTTTCTTTAATAACCTTGTTTCATTTAGTTCAATTTTTTAACTGACTTGCTTTTCGGTACACACAAGAAAAGCTGAGACAGGTATGGACATATCAAAATCTGTACATCTGCAGAAGAAAAACAAAAAACAAGCCATAATAAATATTTAGCCTTTTTGCAACATTTACCTTGTGACTGCACTGAAGAGCCCTTGTATTCTAGCTTTGTGGCGAGCAACAAAAGCCGGGGTAAATATGACACCTCTGTTGTACTGGTCCATTTCTCCTTGGATAATCTTTCCAAGACGCTTTGACAACTCCTATATGGATCAGAAACCCACATGTTTTTTTTTAAACTAACAAAGAAACAACGTATCAAAACAAGCTGAGACCACAAAGAAGACTAAACCATTTAAAAACACAGACGGCACAACACATTGCTTAATTTAATGACCAAATTTCTTATTGGATTAAAAGGCACGTAAAAACTGGCTCACCTCAGTTAAGAAATCTCCTGGGAGGTCATAGCTTTTACACAGCTCTGCAATACTGATCATACCAGCCTCCTGCAGTTTGTCATTCACCTCCTCGGCCAAATGGTCCAGGTATGTGCTGCAGATGACAAAACATGAGCAGTATAATCACAACACATCACTCTCAGTTAACCTGTTCAGACTCAACCCTTATATACTATACTTTTGTAAATACTTCTGTGCAGAAATGAGACTTAACTAAACCTTTAATGTGAAAAAAATACATTTAATTTATTGAATACTGAATAAGACTTTGAATAGAATATAAAATTTAATAAGATAAAAATTTTCCCCTCTTTGAAGTCATATAAGGAGTTTCCCTTCAAATCTGATTGATTTGCTTTTATGTAGAAATGAACTAAGAATGAAATTTGGTGACAGGCAATATTTCATTATTTATGGGCCCTATGTTCCTACAGGGATACAAATGAATCCGAATTATAAAAATAACTGAACTGTTTTAAAGTATTTTGGTTCTTAATCAAATTAATTGCGAACCTTTAGCTAGCACAAAACTGATGTGCACAAGTAAACACAGGTCAGCATCAACTTATTTGCAGACAGCCCAATAACAGTTAAAGCTTCCTTTATTGCCTCCTTCAGCAGAAGACAAACTGGAGCATTCTTTATGAAAGGAAAGGACATAATGCCATCCCACAATTCACAGCGAAGCACCATCTGGGCAATCACGAAAACGATCAACATAATAGACGAGTGACACAGATTGTGTCAATATTAATTATACGTTTGTTTTCCGTGCCATACCCTGCTGATATGTTTTGAACCTTCAGCAACAGCCTAAGTTAAACCCACAGTCAAATTATGAACATTAATTTGTTATAGTAAAACTGGCTCTCTAAAGCTCACTAAAGCTCTCTAAATCAAGATCATCCTACACTGAAATGACAAAAGTCTAAAGTTTATCAAAAATAAAGTTTGCATCGTTTATGTCTGTAGCTGCACTGTTGGCCTTTAAAATTATCATTAATTTTACCTCAAAAGCTTCAGTTTTGTAAAAAGAGTTAACAAGTGCCATAGGCTAATGAGATGGAGCTTAACTATTATAATTAGCTAACTTAAGTGTTATAGCTTTTTCTCTGGATCCTATAGACCTAAATATCTGTAGCATATATCGAG